CTCGGCTCAGTTTTTTAAGGGTAGTGTAAACGGGGTAATAGTTGCAGACTGGCAGGGGGGTGAGCATCTAGCCAACCGTAAAATGACACCAGCGGGTGATTGAAACTGGACATACTGCACTCACCTTCTGTGGGTGTCCTGGCCATACGATAATCTGTTACTGGAGACAGAGACACGGGATAGGGTTAGAGGAAAGATTCAGGAGAAAGGTTCACAAAAATTGTGAAGCTGATAGAATTTAATTTAAGAGCCTAAAATATAGGGGTCGCACATTTTCAGTTCCATTTCCCTGCAGTTAATAGAGCTAGTGATGGTGCGTAGCACTTTCTGCTTCATGTCACCTTCCTGTACAACAGCAACTCATAGATCTTTTTCCAACTATCAGGGACAGCACCATCAAAAATGCACCAACAAAATTATTTTAAAGTGGACCAAAAAACCGCAGAGTCACAAGGCCTAGTGATCGGCTTATTGCCAGGACATCAAGAAATGCTGGACAAGTGCTGAGGAGACAGAAGGAAGAAAAATGTTTCTCATTGCTCTAAGGCCTGGAGCCTGACTAATATTATCAAGGGATCCAAACAACATAAAGTGTGTAATCTCTTATGCAGCACAAGAGGATGGAGATCTGTCATATCTGTTATTGTCCTATAAACACAACTAAGAGCATTCCACTATGATATGGAGAGTAGAAAGGAAAGCAGTGCTCATGGAGCGTGACAAAGACCTTATTTAAATATTTCATCCAAAACATGTTAAATTTCCGGACTGTTCAATGTAATAAACTTAAGCCAGTTAAGGCTAACATAGAAACTTTAACCTAAACACTTAATTCTAATCATACTTACGTGAAGCAGTGATTTCGGTCACCCTGATTTCATTACTGTTTCTCTCTAGGCTTTGCATCTTAATGCTGTTTTCCAAGACATCCAAAACCCGCTCCTCAGATACATCTGGCACGAGCTCCAGGCTGGTGACTGGAATATCAAACTGGGACCAGTAATAGGCAATAACTCCCTCACTGTAGTTTAGAGATTAAAAGGGGAAAAAATGACAGATTTTTTAATTTTTTTTATTTTTTTGTATTCTTACAAGGAGAAGGGGCTAATATTGTGCACAATACAAGGATTTATGATTTATAAGAAATTGTTTGACCTCCTTTTACACGATAAAAATGCAATATATCTAATTCTTAGGAACTTCTTACCTGAAGGCAGTGACTGCAGATCCTGTGTAAAACTTGCTAAGGATTGGACCATTCTGGTAGTATTCACCCAGCTGTGGTAACAAACAAAAAGGTTATGGCTTATTTCTAAATTTCTTGTACACCTTTTTAATATCCAGAATGGTCCCACGCTTATATGGAGATAATTTTTGTTTTAAAGTAGATTTGTGTCTTTACAGCCACATTTATTTTAATTTTTTTTTTTTTTCATTCATAAATAAGATTTTGTGCTGATTTAAAGTATCGGTGTGTCCGTAAAGCTGGATTTGTATTTTTTTGTATTTGTAAATAACGCTTTATGCTTAACTTTGGGTACTTATAAATGTGTGTTCGAAAGCCAATACAAATATAATGAATTTATGAAAGTACAATAAAAAAAAAATATATATATATAATATCTGATATTTAGGAATTTAAATAGGTTCAGACGCATACAAACTTTTCAGTTCATGTGCACAAACGATATAAAACTCAAAAACAACACAACAGTTAAAACAAATCAAATCAGGTTAGGAATTGTTTTTTGTAGTTTTTCAAGACACACTTCACTCTTTCAGATTCGTGTCTATGGAGTGTTTAAATGTTGGTATAAAGCTGGGTCATTCTAGTTTTATTCGGAGTCAAGCGTTTTTTTTCCACTGAACTTATTTCACTCTATACCTGTGCCGAAATTGCAAAGACGATTTTCTGTGCAAAATAAGAAACCTCAGCACCCCCTAGTTATAAGACATAAACTACATCTACTTTGTACTATTCCATGATTGTTTACTTACATGAAAGTGGCAGCAATGTATAGAACAGATTAAAATTGAAGACATCTGGGATACTATACTTACGAGTGTCTCCATTTTTTTAGCCAAAGCCTTGAATTCGCTGCTAGACGTATCCTCCAGCTGTTGGTCATAATCCACACCATCAATCTTCATATGACCACTGAAAAGCTTCACTAATGGTTTTACGTGCTTGCTTACAGTGGAATCACTATCCTCTTTAACTGAGAGAAGAAAAACACAGTAAGTTATTTGATCAACATAATGCTTTAGGATGAAGGGAAAACTTTAAAAAAAAATGTCCCTTGGTTTTACAGTACGATCGCTTGTTTTGGAGACAGTTTGGCTCTCATGGAAATTAAAACAGCCTCTTGAATCAAGATTATGTTTATGGAGATTTCAGAGGCCTTTATAATCAGCCACTGTTTAAAAGACAAGAAGAGTGCCACAGCTGGTGACACTTTCTCCTCTAGATTATTGAAAGGCAACGTCAGAGATGTCAAATGGGCTAAATAATTAGAAGTTAAAGTCCAAGCCACTCTTATACACTCATACATCAAAGAACTTTGCCTTCACAGCAATGTAAATGACTCACTTTCCATTGTGAGGTGTTGTGCCTATTTAGCACGAAAGAACTCTATCAATTCAAATACATTAATCTGTCACTTCAATTAAAAATATTTGCTGTCAAGTGCCCAAAGTAACCATCCCTGTGTCTCCTCCATTTAATACATTAGGAAATAAACCATCATTACTTACAGACAAAGAACCAAATGAGGAATCCTACAACAGCCAAGAGGACAAAGAGTCCCACAATGCTGCCGATCAGGATGCCAGTCCTCCTTGACGATGCCTTCTTCTCCTTGCTGGTTAGGAACACCATCTGCTCTTGCTGGCCAATTTGGCCCTGTGGAGAAAAAAAAAAAAAGGACTAAGTATAAGCTGTATACATACACACCAATAATTATAGTGAATAAGTATACCAGCATCTAGTCAGTTATTGAACATATCAATATCCATAAACATCTCTCAGCTTTTTAGGGCTGTTGAAATTGATAATGTATCTGTTAATTGCGTTTTCTGATATGATACAATCACCCCAAACCATATTTACCAATGTGAAAAGTTGAGCATTAATGTATTAAATGAGCTAAACTACATGAAAATGGGTTTTTTTCTTACGCTACATATCTGATAGTGAGGAAATGTGACTCTCAATGCACTGCACAGCCTTATCTCAAGAAACAAGGAACATTTCTGCCAATTTTAATAGACAGGTGAACACCTACTCCAAATACATCACTTAATACAACCAACATGAGCTTGGATTTCCCTGCTGGACAAAAATACAGAAATATTGTAAGAACATTATCTAAACAATAATATGTTAGTTTTATTTCTGAAAAGTTATCCCCCTCCTCAAGTCCTGACGTGAAAAGTCTGTTGATTAGAACAAAACATCCCTCACAATGCCAAATAATCTGCTGCCGTTTTGGTTAAGCCAAGTACAGTAGGTGGTATGACAGCAAAGATGAGGAACGCATTTTATGCGCCCGAGCTGCCAATGTCTACCGCCTACTGCTTATTATGTACATGAAATTACGTATTTTCATTTAATGGTTAAGAATCTTTCTATTGCAAAACTATTCAGCAACACAATTTCTTTCATACTCATAACACTGAGGGCCCTGTTACACTTTGCTGATTTAGACAGCCCGACGTCCCAGAATCTCCTAAAACGCTGGCCAGTGTTGGGGAGTAACGATTACATGTAACGATGTTATGTAAATTAATTACAAAAAAAAGAGTAACTGTAATTCGTTACAGTGTTTATTAACTACATGTTCCAGTAGCTTGACCGTAGCGTCGCTGCTTTATTTATCAAGTAATTTTCCTGTAGTGACGTTACTGCTTTCATCAAGTAGCGACGTAGCGTCCACAAACGCTAAAAAAATCCAGGGCATAACTAAGAAATGAAACCAGGTTTTCTATTTTGAAAGAACACAGTTATTCGTTGGACAGTCATGCATGAGCCTCTATTCTGCCTCTTCTGTGTGTATCTCCCAAAACATGCGCATGCGCACGGTAGTGGAACTCAAAGAATGACACACACAGAGCCACACACACAGGATGGAGGAGGAGACAGGAGCAGAGCGAGAAGAGCAGCCAACTGTCCCTTCCACACCGTGGCCTTATCTTCAGAGATTATGAAACTTGTTGAATCCTCAGATTAAAAAAATAAGTGTACAGATGTCTGCTTTGCAATAAAAAAAATAAAAAAATAAATAAAAAACTGTTGTAACCGTCCAGGACATCCAACACCAACCTGAGAACTCACATTCAGGTGTATCACTAATTTCCCTCCTGCAGTATGCAAGGAGCGAAATTAGAGTTTAATAAGGTGACTAGAGATGTCCCGATCCAGGTTTTTGCACTTCCGATCCGATACCGATATTGGCCCATACCAACCTATCCGAGCATGTATTTAAGTTTAAGTTAAAGTATTTAGCCTTAGTTGTAAGACTCATGTTGAAAAGGGTTTTAGTACTCTTGATAACATCTAGCCAGCTGAATTAGGTGAGATTGAATAAAATACAATGATTGGTAACAACAAACTTATCTGTTTATTAAGAGATAAACACAAACTGGACAAAATTATGAATAGCAATCTGAAATTGCACAGTGAACAGTAAAACCGTAAACAGTTAAAGGTGCAAGTATTACTGTAAGTTTTAATAAAAATGCAAAACAGACAAGAGTGGAAAATAGTCTATTAACTTAGAATCAGGACTCTACTCTTGAAAAAAGACACTGCTTAAAAAAAAAAATCAGTGCAAATAATAGTGAACTATTACACAAAAATGCCTTATACTCCCCAATCTCCTCCACACCTAGTCTCCATCTACACATCGTGCAGGATAAAATAATCCCACACGGCTGACATTTTCCCCGCTATCTTCCAATTCACCTGTTTTAATGGTTAGGCCGGGAGACAGACCCAAAAAGACCTGTGGGTGTGTTGAAGGTGTTCTGGAAAATGCGGACCGGATTTGGGGAACACTGGTGCAAAATAGTGGAATGGATTGTTTCAATCGGCAAACTGTAAAATACGGACCGGATTTTTTTTTTAAAAACTGGATCGGCAGTCTGGATCGGCATTTTTACATGCTGTGCCGATACGCATTTTTTTGCCAATATCGGCGTCCGATCCGATACGTGGATCGGATCGGGACAAGCCTAAAGGTGACCGCTGTAGGAAGGAAGTGGTTTCTGAACCTGCTTGTGTTAGTCTGCAAACTGCGTAAATGGTAGAGCCTGGGGGAGGAACAGAAAAGTGTATGGCCCGATGAGAGGAGTCTGAGAAAATCTTACATGCCTGGTGCTGGCACCTCTTCTTGTGGACATCCTGTGATTGCCTGTCAGCAGTTCCCTCTCAGCTTAGTGCTTTTTTAAGGTTCACATTCAGTTCTCAAAAATTAAATGTTGAACATGGGTCAATACTCATTAAAACCTTAAAGTAATCAAAAAGTAATCAAAAGTAATTAGTTACATTACTTTTTTAAAGTAATCGAAAAAGTTACACTACAATTACATTTTAAACAAGGTAACTTGTAACTGTAACGGATTACATTTTTAAAGTAACTTACCCAACACTGACGCTGGCATATGCTAACGTTGCTTGTATTTTTTCAATTTTGGGCATATACATAGTGATTTCATGATGCGTCCAGAACTTACGTCCACTGAAAGCCTAACTTATGCATAACACATGGCAGCGTTATGCCCATGAATTGATCCACAAGCCACTGTCCTAAAGGGAGCAGCGATGTGCCCGGAGGTGCCTGGTCTGCATAAAAAGATGTCTTTGATTGTGATATTAAACTGGCTGCTGTTTGATCACGTGAATCACGTTAAGTGGTCGTCTGGAACACGTCAGATACGTTGATGTACGTTGAAAATGAGTTCTTGATAAGTTACACACAAGTTACTCATAGGTTTTGGACCATGTAGACACCATGACTTATGAGTAACTTACACTTAATGTATGTCAACGATCAGATAACTTACCGGTAACTACTACTGATGTATGGCATACGCTGGCGTACTTGCCATATGTCGATGTGTGCCAGCATTTTTCAGCATTCTTCAGCGTGCTCATGACTTATACAAAACCTTCCCATAACTTATCCAATGCATACCAGCGTTTTTGCCAGCTTTTTTTGTGCGTCAGGCATACGCTGGTCTAAATTGTCATGGTGTGAGAGGGGATTTACCATCAAATGCAGTATGGCCAAGAAAAGATGTTTATTTCAGTGCTTAACTGTTTATTATCTGAATAAGCTGCCAGCTGATTAATATGCTCCTTGGTTGATTGCATCACAGTGTCGTTTAAAACTGCACTCCAGGAAAGCACACCTTGAAGACGAAGCTGGTAACAGGACCTTGTCATTAGGATGTCCGTGTTAAAAAAACTTGAAGAGTTAATATGTCCTGTTGATGATGCAGGCAGCTTAGGGCTGAGCCTCTGTCGTTCCAGTATGGCAGTTGAAAGAAATGCGACAGTTTGGACAAATGTGCAGGGACAAGCTTTGGCAGGACACATTTTCTCAGAATCTGTTCTGAAACACTGATATGCCTAAAGGCTTCATTATGTTTGACACAAGTACCTCCCTTCCTGAGAATGAGAGCGTCTACAGCTTTTACCCTCCATTAGACTTCTCCACTTGTAGCTAATATTCTGGCCAGCTTCAGGGTGTCATGTATAGCAGAAACTGCAAGCTTGCAACAATGCATGAGGAAGGCAATAGTAATTTGTTTCCAATAGATTTTCAAAGCCTGTTAATTATAGTGATATCTATTGGCTAAAACAAGACAAGGCATATTTTTGTGAAGTATTGCAGACAGGAGCTGTTATAATTTTCCTAAGTAAAAGGTGCAGGTATTCTTACAGAACTTCAGGCAGAATCTTAAATTATGTAATTTGGCTTTCAGGACCTCGGGGACACATCAAGTGTAAATCAAGCTTATAAAACCCTAAAAACTCCCTGGCAACGTGCTTTACATTCGTTCAGAAACTAGGGGATGAGTGAAGAGCTTTGGAAAAATACAAGCAGTGGCTTTAAAAAGCACTTCAAGAAATAAGTTTGTGGTTGATCTCTTAAGTAGGTATAAGGAGAAAAAAAAAAACACACACACACACACAATGAATGAAAAATGAGTGAAGACCCCAGAGTGCCACATGGAGATTCTCTTGAATATTAAATAAATGTGTCAGATCTGTTGCTTGATAAGACGGGGGCTCAATTAATTGAGTCTGGATGATAACTCACGGCAATTAAGGCCCATCCCTGCCCAGTTCACACTACTACACATGCTCTCAAATTGCAATCTGTAACAGCAATCAAGGCCCAGAATGAGGTAAATTATTAGATAGGGCGTCAGCAAGTTCCCAAACGTTCTTCTCCATCAATCATCCTGATCAGGGTCTAATTTTACCATTATATACACACCTTATCATATCCCACTCTACTCTAATTCATAGACTTACTATCTCTGATGTAAACTTTGAGAAGTGTCGCCTAAAAGTTTTACTTAAGAAGATACCACAGCATGAGTGCATGAAACTAGTTTTCATTTCCTTGTTCCTCTGTGGTCTAACCAGTCTGACAAGATGGTAAGACTGCAAAAAAAAGGGGGGAAATAGTTGCTTTGACTTGTGAGTGAGATTTAGACATTCTCCTATAGATCTCTCATATATGACATGCCAATACTTAAACATAGTGTTTGCCTTAGGGTAAAATCATGATTTTCCTTTTCTTCTCAATTTAAGCTCCCACACTCCTGTTTCTCAGCAATACATACTTCTATCATATTTTTTTTCTATTTATTTAATCCCTTATTAAACGA